TGCCTAAAGGGAGTCCCAACTTAGGCCTGCTTCATAGGAGAGATTGGGTGTATCCAAAGGAATAAGAAAACATGTAAGTGATGCATCTCCTTCCACAATTAGGATTCTCTACTTCTTATTTCTAATCTCAGAACTCTCCCTTGTCAATATAGTTCCATTTGGGATCAGAATATGACTTTTCGTAAGGAGAGTCCCAGTTTTCTGAATTTCATAGGAGAGATTGGGTGTATCCAAAGGAATAAGAAAACATGTAAGTGATGCATCTCCTTCCACGTTTAGGATTCTCTACTTCTAGTTTCTATTATCAGAACTCCCCCTTTTCAATATAGTTCCATTTGGGATCAGAATATGACTTTTCCTAAAGAGAGTCCCAGTTTTCTGATTTTCATAGGAGAGATTGGGTGTATCCAAAGGAATAAGAAAATATGTAAGTGATGCATCTCCTTCCACATTTAGGATTCACTACTTCTTATTTTTATTCTCAGAACTCCCCCTTGTCAATATAGTCCCATTTTGGATCAGAATATGACTTTTCCTAAAGAGAGTCCTAGTTTTTTGTTATTCATAGGAGAGATTGGGTGTATCCAAAGGAATAAGAAAACATGTAAGTGATGCATCTCCTTCCTATTAGAGTGAAAGAAGGAAAGGAGAGGTGAGGCCGAAGTCAACAAGACAAGGCCGATCATCTCCAAGTCAAAGAAGAGGAAGATGAGGAGTGTCAAGGCCAATGACATCAAGACAAGGCCGAAGACAACTCCAAGATCTCTCAAAGAAGATAAAAAGAAGACAAGACAAGGCTGAAGAAGCTATTGATCAAGTCTAGCCTCGGCCTAAAGAAGAAGAAGAACTGTACGGCCAAGTCAACTCCAAGAGGTGTCCGTACAAGTCTAAGGTTGTGTAAGGCCGAGGCCCATTAGATAAGAAGAAGAAGAGGACGCCAAGAAAGCCTAAGAATGCAAGGAATAAGGCCCATAAGTGACAAGAAGAGGAGGGAAACGAATTCAAATTTAAGTCTGCTCTCACATGTGACTTTAGTCACATGTGACCGTTTATGAGCTGTCACTTTCAGCTCTTAACAAGACAAAAACGCTCTCTTTATGTCACTCTCAGTCTTGGCTCATGTGTTAGGGCTTCCTCTCTTCCTTTCTCTCTATAAAAAGAGATGTAACCGAGCTTGTAAAATGTTACACAGAATCAATGGAAGTGATTTCTCTCTTTTTATCTTGGTTCTTCATTCTATTTCGCAATGTAAGAGTCCTTAGAGAAAAATCGTTTGGTAGTGGACTGCCCTT